AAAGTAGCTACCAAAGATTTTCTCTCATTCCATGGGTTCCCTCTTCACATTCTTAACTGTGAAGCTGAACAGAAGCTTTTTAATTTCATGTCATCTCATTTATTAATTCTTGGTATTATTTCCTGAGTTTTAGTCCTATTGAGAAAGTCATTTTGCTTGTGCCTGTATGTTGATTTTTGATCTTATGTTTCTTTCTAAGAATTGCATAGCTTCTGGTGACATTCCTAGACCTTTGATCCATTTTCATATCATTTTTATGCAGAATGAGAAATATGGATCTAGTCTCATCATATACATATAAAAATAAATAAAATATCCCATTTTTCTAGCACCATTTGTTAAAAGCGTGTCTTTTTCCTCCTTTTTCAAGGATGGATATGGCTATGTGTGTTTGTCTCTGTGTCTTCTGTTCTGTTTCACTGGTCTGTGTGTCTGTTTTTATGCCAGTACCATGCAGTTTTTGTTACTGTAGCATTGTAGTATAATTTGCATTCAGGTATTGTGATGCCTCTGACATTGCTTTTTTGACTAGAATTGCATTAAGTATTCTGGATCTTTTATTCTTCCAAATGAATTTTAGTACTTTTTTAAAATTTATTTTTTTATACTTCTAATCAGTTATACATGATAGCAGAAAACTTTTCAATTCATTGTACACAAATGGATCACAAATTTTCATTTCTTTGGTTTTACACAATGTAGAGTTGCACCATATGTGCAGTCATACATATAACTAGGGTAATGATGTTCATCTCATTCCACCATTTTTTTTCTAGTTCTGTGGAAAATGTCATTGGTATTTCAATGTGGATTGCATTGCTTTTGGTTATATGGCCATTTTAACAATATTAATTGTGTCTATCCATGAACATGGTAGGTCTTTCTATCTTCTGAGGTCCTCTTCAATTTCTTTCTTCAATAATTTATAATTTTCAGTTGTAGAGGTCTTTCACCCTCCTGGGTTAAATTTATTTCTAGATATTTTATTTTAATTTACTTTTTGAGGCTATTGTGAATGCTATTATTTTTGTGATTTCTTTCTCAGCAGATTCATCATTGTTGTAAGAAAATCCATGGATTTTTGCATGTTGATTTTGTACCTGCTACTTTTGCTGAATTTGTTTATTAATTCTAACAATCTTTTGGTGGACCTTTTTGGATCTTCTAAGTATAGGATCATATTATCTACAAATAGTGATAATTTGACTTCTTTTCTATTTTTGTCCATTTTCATTTCCTTCTCTTGCCTATTGCTCTACCTTTGTCCATTTTTAAATTAGGTCTTCTGGTACTTGAGTTGTAAAAGTACTCTTTACTCTGATTAGACTTTTACAAAGATAGGATTTCCAAATGTATTTTCCTATTCTGTGGATTTTTTGTTGTTGTTTTGTTTTTGTTTTTGTTTTTGTTTTTTTTCACTTTCTTCATGTGTCCTTTGTACAAGGTTTTTAATTTTGAGTGGTTCAGGTTCTTCTTTTTTTTTTAAATTTTTTTGGTGTCATATCTAAGAATTCATTGCTAAATATAAGGTTATTAAGATGTACCCTCTGTTTTCTCCTAGGTTTTAGCTTCTATGATTTTAGCTTTTTAATCTGTTTTTGAGTTAATATTTTCCATTTACTGTGAGGTACACATAAATTCTTTTGCATGGTCTAAAACTGTGAATTAATATATATTAAAGAGAATCGTGTCATTTTCCACAGTCTTAAAAAATCATCTGTGACATTAAAACATTTGCTTTCTTATTCTCAAGATAAAAATTAAAGACAAAAGAGTTGAAACCATAAAACTCTTAGAACTCGTAAATCTTTGTAACCTTGCATCATTACATAGTGAATCGTTAAATATGGTACCAAAAAATAAGAAGAAAAAATTAGAATAGATGAGTTGGACCTTATCAAAAGTAAAAACTTGACTTTAAAGGTCACTATCAAGAAAATGAAATAACACCCACAGAGAGGAAAATACTGTAAATTAAGAAATAGATAAAAATCTAGTATCCAAATTATATAAAGAACACTTATAACTCAATATTAAAGCAATATATAATATAATTTTTAAATGGGTAAAGGATATGAGTAGATAGTTTTCCAGAGAAGATATGCATATATCCAAAAAGCACATGAAAACATGCTCAGCATCTTTATACATCAGGAAAATACAAATAAGACTTCTAGAATGGCTATGTTAAAACAAATGAATGATAACAATTTAACAAACATATGGAGATATTAACACCCACTTATATTGCTTGCAGGAATCTCAGATAGTGAAACCACTTTGGAAAATTGTTCAAAAAGTCAAACATACAGTTAGATGCCTTATAGCCCAGGCATTCCACTCCTGATACTGAAAAGAGTTGAAATCATATATCTCCATGAATACTTGTACATGAACATTAATAGCAGAAAAATAGTGGAATCAAGCCAATGTCCTTTGACACATGAATGAATAAACATATGCAGATAATCATGCAATATTGTCCAACATAAAAGGACTGACACATATTTCAACACTGATGAACTTGAAAACATTATTCTAAATGTGAGAAGCCAGACACAAAATGCCGTATTGTATCATTTACTTATATGAAATATCCCAAATAGAGAAACGCATAGAAATAAAAAGCAGATTATTGTGTAGATTCGCCCATGTGGCTATACTGGTTGCATTCAAAGTGGCCTTTTTGTTGATAATTATCTGCTCAAATCCTGAAACTTTCCTAGGATGGTGTTCCTCACCACTGGCATTTCTTATCTCCGGTCTGCACTGCAGCTTCAGCTTCCTCCACATCTCCACAGGTTACCCTCTCAGGGGTGCCCCCAGGGACTCTGACCCTGCTGTGCTTTGTCTGGCCTCCCAGGCCCTCCCTTGAAATCTTCTACCATGGAGGTAGAAGCCTCCATGACCCCCTAAGTCCAGCATCCTGCATTCCTGAAGAATCAGCATCACCTGGTTGATGCCAAGATCTGCCACAATTTCGAGCAGTTTCCAAGCTTCTGGGGACCCTGGTTACAGAGCCTCTCAGTGCCTGGGTAGCTGAACTTGTTGAAAAAACTTCCTAGGCACTCTTGTGCAAGAAGTGCGCCCACTGATCTCTTCTCAAGAGAATTTTTACTTTTATTCCCTTGAGCTTGAAATGCGTATTGTCTTGCCAACTCCTGAGATGCCCTCAAACCATCTTTCTTATTTTATCTGGGCAGTCTTTAGCATTCCTTTAGTAGCAATAATGTCTTTAACAACTGCAACTTCCTTAGCCCAATTTTTTAAAATATTTTTTTTAGTTGCAGTTGGACACAATATATTTTTTATTTTTTATTGATTTTTTTAAAAAATGACCGTGGAATGCATTACAATTCTTATTACACATATAGAACACAATTTTTCTTATCTCTGTTTGTATATAAAGTATGTTGACACCAATTTGTGTCTTCATACATGTACTTTGAAAGATGATGTCCATTATTTTCCACCATCCTTGTTAAGCCCCTGCCCCCTCCCTTAACCTCCCACCCCTCTGCCCTATCTAGAGTTCCTCTATTCCTCCCATGCTCCCCCTTCCTACCCCACTATGAATCAGCCTCCTTATATGGGAGAAAACATTCGGCATTTGTTTTTTTGGTATTGGCTAACTTCACTTAGCATTATCTTCTCCAACGCCATCCATATAGCTGCAAATGCCATAAGGGAACCACACATCAAAAAGACAACAATTATAAATATTACATATACACAAACAATGGAGCATCTACATTTCTCAAACTCTTCACAAGTTCAAAAGTCAAATTGACCACAATGCAAGTAATCTTGGGTGACTTATACCTCTCTCACCACTGGATAGATCTTCCAAACAAATATTTATTTTTTTAATGTGCTGCTGCTGATTGAATCCAGGGGCTCACACATATGAGGCAAGCACTCTACCACTGAGCTATAACCCCAGCCCCTGAGTTCCAGTTTTATTCCCACGTTTCAAGTCCAAGTTTTTCAAATATTTCTGCTTTGCTTTCTGCTCCTGATTAACACAATAAATTTGGCTTATACCCACCAGCAATATCCATGTCACTGCCTGAATGCTATGCTATCTAGAAATTACTTTCACCAGATTAAGAAGTCCTTCACTTTTAAAATTATCCTCACAGAAAGTCTCAAATCATGGGCAAAATGCAGACAGTTTTTCAGCCAGAACATAACACAAATGGCCTCTATTCCAAATTCCAGTGGAGGTCTTCTATGAACCCTCTTGAGCCCTGTTTTCACTGCTCACTATCCCATTGGCAATCTGGTCTTCTGAGCTCCCATGAGAATCAGCCATTAAACTCTGCAACAGTCGAAAGCATTTCCAGCTTGCCCTGTTAAACACCTCAAAATTCCTCCAACCAATTCCAAAATGCTCTGAGCTTATGAGCTACATAGTCAAGATGGTTACATCAACAACCAATATCTGGTGCCAATTTCTGTTTTAGTTAGCTTTTTTGCTGCTGTGACTAAAAGGACCCAACTAGAAAAACTGTAGAGGTGGGAAAGTTTATTTGAGGGTACACAGTTTCAGAGGTCTCAATCCATAGACAAGAGACTCCATTCCTTGGAGGCTCAAGGTGAGGCTGAATATCATGGCAGAAAAATGTAGCAGAGAGAAGCAGCTCACATGGTAGACTCCCCTGGCCAGATACAAAATATATACCACAAAGCCACACCCCCCCAATGCTCTACCTCCTCCTGCAACAACTCACCTGCCTTCTTTTACCATTCAGTTAATCCTATAAGGTGATGAATTCACCAGTTCGGTTAAGACTCTCGGAACCCAATCATTTCTTCTCTGAACCTACTTGCATTGTGCCACAAGTAAGCTTTGGGAGGACACCTCCCATCCAAACAATAACAATATCTCAATAAAAACAAATAATCTTAAAATGTTTGGCATGCAGGGAGATTTTTCTACTTGAGCAATACTCATTTGATGTTTACCTTAAAAAAGTTATTTTTATTTTATATTTTAGAAATTTATCATGGCATCCTGCTTTGACCACTAAAAGTAAAATGCGAATTCCACATTCTCATGCATTTATTGATCTGACTGAAGATTTTACAGCAGGTAAGTTGCACATAAATGTGAAATATGTAATTTAAACTGCCTAAGAATTACAGATTTTACTTATTCTTGTATTCACTTGCTCGTGGACTGAATGTTAAGACCCGACTGTTAAAAGTTTATAAGAAATCATTTGAAACATAAAAACAGTACTGAATATAATAAATAAGTTTGTAGTTATTTTATTGTTGTTGTTTGTTATCCACCTCAAAATTTGAATTCTCCCATTTTTATGAATTCATGATAATTTTGTCATGTTGCCTGATGTTTCTTTCCTTTCTTTTTAAAAGTCTTTGACTAATGCTAAAGAAAAATATTTAGTTTATGTACTCCAAAACGATTTTTTTAAAAAAAACTTTTTAATGTGGAAAAATTTTAACATAGAATAGTAGGCAAAATAATATAAATATATGCGCACTTAATTCCCTAGCTTAGTTATAAATGATATCTTAGTTATGAATGCCAATCATGTTTCCTTTCTGTACCCATCCACACAAGTCTCTCCACTCCAGATAATTTTAAACAAAATCCAAACATATAATTTCATTTATACATACTTCACTCTCTGTATCTCTGTAGCCACCAAAAAAATCATTTTGAAACCTAAAAAATTAAATAATAAAGTTGAATATCATCAAATATCCTGTCACTATTCAAAATATCCCACTTGTTTTTATCAAACCAGGAGCTAAACAGGACTCATAACAGACAAAAAAAAAATTATCTGTGTCTGGATTTTTCTCATTGTATCCCCATGATATTAGCATGTTACTCTGGCTTCTGTTCTTAGTGTTTAGATTTAGAACCTTAACCAGAATCCAGCTTTGTAGAATCAACAGGCAGGAGTAGTGGTCAGGAATCCTTCCAGTGTGTTGCTGTGTGTTTCAGCTCATTATGCAGACTGATCATTTAACTTTTCTTTTATAGTGTAAAATTGTTCTCTAGCTTAGGGTTTGCTCAGCATGGGTCATCTACTATACTGCTCCTTAATGGTTTTAGCAATGATAATTGTTGTCAGGTCCGTTATTTCAACAGGAGTTGCAAAATTGTGGCACACTAGATATGTCACTCTTCTGTATATATTATTAATTGGTGTTTCCTATTTAAAAAAAAAAAAAAGAAGAAAAAACTACCACCGTGATCTTCAATCAATGTACATATATAGTGTACAGTGTGATAGGCAAAGATAAATCCTTTATTTTTTTCTTCTCCCCATTTTTTGACTCCAGTTTTCAAAGGCTTCTGATCTGATTTTGCTATGACATTTTTAGTCACTGAACTAATTGCAAATGAACAAAAAAGGCTAAAAGTAATAAAATTTAAAAAAGAAAAGACAACTAAAATTATGTTCTTTAAGCCTTTTATTAACTCTAAATTTGTTATGAATTTTGCTAGCACATTTTTATGAATACCATTTGAACAGTTAAGAAATTAGCACCCAAATGTACTCTGAATTTTACTGATTTAAAACAAACAAAGCCAGTCCTTTACAGAGTGAGCTCTTTATGGTTCTGAGTTGTTTGGTTTCAAATGTACACTTACAATGGAAAAAAAAGAGGGAATTGAACAAGGAAAACAGAGGTTATTTTTAGTTTGGCTTATCTGGGACACTAAATCATATGAAACTGTCAGTAGTAATGGTATGAGTACTTCTTGCCATGGAAGTGGTCTTAACAACTCATTTTTCAAGATGAGGAAATTCTATAGTTGTAGGCTAATTTTTCTGTTACCTCATTGACATTACACATACACATACATTTCCCCACATAATTTTTTTTTTTTTTTTTTTTTTTTAGGAAAATTCTGTCATGATGTTTTAGAAATTTACTTTGAGTTCAATAATATTAGACTTTCTTAAACAATATTGACTTTGCATTTAAATAATTTCTAAAGAATTCTTGGGTATTTTTACACAATCAACAAAATCTGCCTTATGAAATTCTGACATAAAATGACACAATTGTGTTTACAGGAAGTATGAGTTTTAAGTAAACAATCTATTATATAAAATGTAAAAAAATTCTGATAATCACTTTTAAGAAGTTAAAATATATTAAGGAAATATTAAAAATTTATAATTATTAGAGTTGTGACATTCAAATTACTATCTCCTTTAAAGTTATGTCAGCATTCATTGAGTACTTGTTCTATTGTAAAGCCCTCTGTAATCATTTTTGAGTTATAAAGATGGCAAGAAGTGCCTTCAGCTGTCAAAGATCATTTAGTTAGTCTGGAAGAAGCAGACAAATTTAGCCATAATATGCGGAAGAATGAAGTAAATCTTTATTAGTTAGACAAACTGTTCTTAATGACAAAGGAGATCATCTCACAAGGCTTAGGACTATGGAACCCTACAAAATTGATCAAAGAATTTGACCAAATTTTAAACTATGGTGAGCTTCTCATTGTCCAGAGTGTACTCATTCCTTAGGATATAGAAAACTTTCTGAAGAATAAGCCTTAGAAGAAAAACAAAACAAAAATAAAATTTTTTTTTGGTATTATTGGGAATTGAACTTATTACCTTTTTAAATTATCATCAATGTAAAGGATGGAAAATAATGGTATTTATTATGATTTTAGTATGCATTTCTCAGATTACTATTGAAGTACATTTTCTTTGCTTTTGTGAGTTGACCATTTCTTAGTTTTCCCTATGGATTGCTGTGTTTTCCTTTTCAGATCACTGTCTCTTCCTAATGTTTTTATTTTGGTTTAAGTTCTGTTACTCTGTCAGGCAAAGACTTATTTATAACCACTGGCAATTCTGATTCATGACTACTACAGCTTTTTAAATAGACTTCAAGTATTCAAGTTACTTAATACTGTGAACTATTCTATATAGTGATCTGATCACATTATTCTCATCATCTCATTTACATCAGTAATACATCTCAAGAAAATCAAATCTGGCTATTAATTCTTCAGGCTACCCCTCCATTCATAACAGCAATGACCATTAATCAGCTAGAGCAGATCCTGAAACACTTCTTTTCTTCTGCAAATGAAAATCAGCCTTACTGTCTGTTTAGCTCATTTGATAACTAAAGAATAAGTATCTACCTTCAAAAAAAAGAGAGAGAGAGAGAGAGAGAGAAAATATCAGAATTCCTTGTCCAATATGTAGACCATTACTTTCTCTTAATATTCTTTATTTGGGATAATTTGATTTTCAATAAAAAGTATTTGTGCCTACATGTAGATGTCCATTGTCAGCTTGATCCCAGAGCTAGAGAAGAAGGTCTAGGTCATAACCTGAAGTATAGGAGTCTTCAGTATTTTTAAGGCCATGGATAGACAGAGGGCTACAAACTTTGTTTGCTTTTGAATTATTTTAAAGTAGCATGGTTATGGTAAGAAATTTTAAACAGTTCAAATGTATATTCAGTTTCTTCTAGCTGTGCAGATCTACACACAATTTTGTGTTTGGTCCAAGTTGAATTAGTGTGTAGATAACTGTCATTCTGTCTTAATTCATATAAGCATATCAGCAGTATAAAATTGACCTTTTATAGATTCATATCATTCCATTATATAGAGATGCTATAATTTACTTAAATATTCATCTCTTGGTAGACAGATATGTTTCTTGTTTGTTTGCAACAGTGTTCCAGTAAATATTTTTGTACGTATATCTCTCTGTTCTTGTGCAAACATAAGTATATTAGCTATTATCAGAAGTTTATTAAGGTTGTAATTATGTGTATTTTCCCTTAAATAATGTTTTTCAGAAAAGTGGATAAAGAATAAACAAATAATTACAACTTTTATTTTGAATTCTAATAAATATTGTAGTTTCCCTTCAGAGTTTATACCAAATTTACCTTCCTACAAAAAGTGTATGAAAGTAGTCATTCTTACCAAATTTGGTATTTTCTTTTACATTGTAAAATATATAATTATTAATTATGAGTTATTTCAGGCATACCAAAAAATATATATGACTTTTGGTATTTTCCATTTTTGTCAGTTTCACAGGGGAATATTGCATCTTATTTTGATTTGCATTTCTTGAGTTATATCATTAATGTCAAACAGCTTTACATACACTTACTGACCATTTATAATTCTTTATTTTGGAATTGCCTATTCAAGTATTTACCCATTTTTCTGTTAGAGTTTTTTTTTTTTTTTTTTTTCTTTTTTAAAAGTTTATTTACAAAAGTTCTTTTTACTTTAAGAAAATTATTTCTGCTTTTTGGTACATGATATATGTATGTTGCGTGTTTTAATTTGTATAAATGCCTTTTTTCTTTTGATCATATATAACTGTTAAATATTTATTAATCAAATTTGTCTTTTCTTTCATGGTATCTTTGTTTTGTGTCATGCTTGGCAAATGCCACTTGGATGTAATATTTTGGGTAACAAACAAGTTTTTAATTATTTTTGGTGGTTTTATGCTTTTGCATTTAAATCTTTGACACAGTTAAATTTTCTCATTGGTATTTTAGTTATATATTTAGATATTCACTTCTCCATTTTAATTGTCATCAGTATTGTCTATTCAACAGAACAGGCCGTCTAAGTCCTGCCTTGCTATGGAGGAATTAATTTCTTCACTTATTGTTTACTTGCATTCTCCCTTATAGACTATGTTGGTATATTATTCTTCTGGAAGTTTTCCTTAAGTAAAAGAAATAGTCTGATGATTGGTCATTTAAATAAGAGATTTATTACATTTAAATAAAAAGGGTTACTTTAAAATATTATGTGGTGACATTAAAATTTTACCAATTTATAATATGTGTATATACGAAAGGTAACCTGTTTGTTTTCTAAAACTGATAGAAGGCTGAATGCCTTACCTTGGGTAATTTGTTTGTTACCCAAGGAAATTTAAACTTGTCAATTAAATTTATCTTTAGGCTGGATGTACTTTGCAGTGTTAGTGAGCTTGCCCTGGGTTTGATCCCCAGCATATCTGTCTCACACACATACACAAAAGGTGTAGGGTGGAATTATCTGAGTGTTTAACCTTTTAGTCTTTTGGGGGTTAAGTT